GGAGGAGGGGAGGGGGAGGCTGGCCAGCCAGGGACAGTGTGAGGGGGACAGGGGAGGTGCGAGGCTGGCCACATGGGGCAGTGTGAGGCGGCCGGGGTAGCCGCTGCGGGCCAACAGCCAGGCTGTTGTGCACAGGCCGGGGTGCACAGTCAGGTATGGGCCACGGGGCTGCTGGTGCCAGGATGCCCTTCAGAACAGTGTCATACTGCTGCCCGTCATCCAGGGGCAGCGGAGGCTGGAAGAGCCTGGGAACAGCAGCCTCCCCTGAAGGAGCGATGAGTCCCACTGGTGACCCGTTTTGAGTGACGCAGCCTCCGCTCAGGTTTCTGGCCCGTCCTCAGGAGCCTCCACCTGGTGGGTCTGCAGGGACGGGTCACAGTACCCTGAAAGCGGCCCAGAGCGCCATCCAGGTGGGCTGGCAGTTTCACTAGAAACACAGAGGGGGGACTGCAGGGTGGGGGTCACAGGACCTTCACTTTCCCTCCGCTTTGCTATGAACCTAGAATTGCTCTAAAAGATAGCAATGAAATGAATAAAGAATTTTTAAAATGTTCTTTAAGAACATACAACAGTTGAGAGCTTGCCTGACGTGAAGGGAGAACCGAGCGGGAGGCGAGGTCTGTACCCAGTAAGGACAGCTCAGGGACAGCCCGCGGCACGGTGGTCAAGGCGCTAGCTCCCACGCGGACAACTAGGAGGCGTCCCAGACCCAGCAGTTTAAAAGCATGCCAGCCACGCATGTGTGCACGCCCAGAATCCCCAGAGGAGCACGGAGAAGGGGTTGTGGCGTGGCCATGCCCCGTGGGGTGGTTTCTCACTTTTCATCTCTCTCCAGAGAATGCACGCACCCTACACCAAAAACTGAGAAACAAAAAAAAGTTCCAATGCGCTGTTCTGCCCAAGAAAAAGCGTTCTCTGAACTGCCGCGGGTCTGACCCGGAGCGCGCCGTGACTCACCCGCAGCTTCCGACTCTGCTTCCGAACGAGCTTGCCGTGCTGGACGAAGTGGACGGGGCACTGGTTCATGGCGTTGTCTGCTTTGTGGCGTAGCCAGTCCTCATAGCCCTGCGGGAGGGGCCAGAGGAGCCGCAGCTGAGTTAGCCGTCGCTGCAGCAGCTGCTCCTCTCCGCCGTCCCTGGGGGAGACGGGGTGGCCAGGGACGCTGTCCACGGCAGCCCCGGCTGCTTTTCAGGCCAGCAGTTACGAATGCATCTGGTCAGCACCTTCGTGAGCTACGACACGAAGCCTTGGTGCATTCCGTGAAAGCGAGCCGGACTTTCTGGCTGTGAACATGAAACGCCAAGTCCTCGGTGCCAGTGACACTGAGGCATAGCGCGGTCACCGACAATCAGAAGCCGCCTGTGCGGGCTGTCCAGACGTCTCTAAAGAGAACTGGCCTGTAAACAGCGGACGCAGACACCGGCTCCAAGGTTTGCAGCGGAGGAGAGACTGCCTCGCAAGGAGATCTCACCCCCGTAAACAGGGGGACGGTCTGGAGAGGTCTCCTAGGGAGACAAGTGAAGGGCCGTGACCACACGGAGAGGGCGCCCTCAGCCACAGGGAAACATAGACTGAACCATGAGCAGACACCGCTGTGCACACGGGGGTCCTGACCAAGACCCGCGATGGTGTCTGCAAGGGTGTGGCAGTCGGGACACCCGTCGCCGCCAGGGGGACGAGTGTGGTCAGCTGCCAGCTCCTCACAACAGCGGTTGTGCTCGGAGGCGCCCAGGGCTGGCGAGCCTGTCCTCACCACGTGCCATCCCACGCTGCACTGTTCATGCCAGCCCACGGGTGGAAACACCCCAAACACCCACCAGATGAACGGACAGACGGGGTGTGGCCTGTCCATGTGAGGGGTGGCCATCCGCACACAGCAGAAGGTAGCAGGCACATGCCATGGCACGGACAACCTCCACACACACGTGGTCACAGAGCCACCTCTCAAACAGCCTGCTCACACACAGTGTCCAAACAGCCGGGCGAGTCCACGGGGATGGGGCGAGTCCACGTGAAGGGGTTGGTTAGTCTTTGCCAGGGGCTAGGGGAGGGGTCTGGGTCTGTTCCGCGGTGACAAGCGTGTTCTGGGACCAGATGTGACTGAGGGAGTGGACAGAGGGCAGAGCAGCCGAGCGGCGCTCTCGGAGCGGGCCATGGCCGGTACTTCTCAGGAGAGGACTGTAAAGGGATGCCCGAGCAAGCCGGGGGCCAGGCTGCTGTCAGGGACGGACACCCGAGTCTGTCACTCTGTGGGGGCTTGGGAGGGTCAGGCTCTGGTTGATTCAGGGTGAGAAAACCAGTGTTCCTCTAGAACTCAAAGGGCACCAAACAAGCCACTAGATCATATGACCTCTCTTATTTATTTTTTATTTTACTTTTCAATTTTTTGCCAGTGAGTGCATGCACATGCACGAGAGAGCGAGAGCGAGAAAGTGCCCACGGGGTGGGGCCACGCTGCGGTCCGCCCTGCACTTCTCCTCCCAGGATCTGGGCACGCACACGAATGCCTGGCAAGTTTCTCAAGCTGCCAGGCTGGGGACATGAATCACAGCTGACCACATGGGATCCAGCCACCTTAACCACCATGCCACGGGCTACCCCATAATCTCTTATTTTACGCAAATATCGAGGTGACACAGCTACAAAAATGAATCTCAGGAACCTGACTGTCCCGTGAACTAAAACCACGCAGCACTCCTCGCTCTGCGTGGCTGTCGCCGTCCTTGGGGTGGCTCACCTGTTTGATCGCTGTGACAGTGATGACAAAGAACAGGGGCAGTCCACTGGTCACCGGGCTCGTAGGTGTGTCAATAATCAGCTGCAACGAGAAGACATCATCACCCACCTTCTGAATCGGGTAAGCGACATGAGGGGGTGGTCAGTCCCAAGCTGCCCCCACCAAGCATCTGCTCCCACGTGGCTGGGCGCTAACTGCCCACCATGAGGATACGCCAGGGGAGGGGCAGCACCCGGTCCAAGGACGTGCCCAGGAAGCCACACGCAGCGAGTGGCAGACGAGTCTGACACAGACTGGTCACACCTGCAGAGTCGCTGCGATGTCCCGAGCCAGCCCTCGGTCCGTCACCTGGGCAGTCGGGCCTGGGAGGTCATCTATTCATTTACTTTAAACTTTGTTTTAATAACTAACTCCACATCCATCGGTTAACCCGAAAGATCAAAGCTGAAATTCCGCAAAATCAGATTCTCAAATTAGCCTAAGACCCATTGCAGATTACAACCAATCGTCCCACAGTTTTCCTTACACCTTCCGTCGACAGCGCTCCCCCACAGCTCAGGCTGAAGGAAGGAGAATGGCCCTTCGCCTCCTGTCAGTGACGTGGAGCTCGGCTCACTGTCCTAAGGCCCACCTGCCACGACTCCTGGCACAAGCTCCCTGACACGTTCCTTTGCTGTCTGACTCCCTCTCTCCCCGGCCTTCCTTCCCTCTTCTCTAAGGACCCTGGGCTGTCCCCACGCAGCAGGAAGAGGGTGCAGGCAGCACCGTGCAGCGCGGCAGGGCCACGCACAGGCGGGAGCTCCTGCTCTCCCCCAGCACTAGATGGGGGTGGTGGGGTGGTGCCCACCTCAAACACACGTGACCCCCTGCAGGATGGGCTGGGGCGGGCTTCTCGGGGCTGGCACATCTGCCCCAGGCGGCACACGACAAATCCTGCCGGAGCCCTGCCGGCGGCCGTGTGCCCGTCCTCGAATGGGGCCACCATGGGAAAGGAGCCAGCTGACTGGCCTTACCTGGACCAGGAAGATGATGAGGAAGTAGAAGTTGGCGACTCTCCTGAACTGCTCGAACAGGTTCTTGGGGATGAAGTTCCAGAAGGTGTACTGCAGAGGGGGCACACCGTCAGCATAGTGCTCGCTCCGCAGCGCCCCCATGAGCCCGGGCTCAGCCTCAGACACAGCCCGGCCGTCGGACCGAACACACACGGCGTGCGCTCCGGACCCACAGCGTCGGGTTTCCGGAGAAACAGAGGAAACGCACAGCACAGTTACTGAGGGAGCTGTCGTAAAATGGGGGTGGTGGTACCCCAAACCCCATGTCTGCCACCTTCACCCCGAGTCCCTGTCCCCTTCTCTGCCACGTGTGCCCAAGTGGCCACCAGAAGCTGCCCCGGTGTGAAGGTGGCTTCGTGTAGCAGCCAGGCCAGGCCGGGACGCGGAAGCCCTCCCCGTGCATCGGGGGACGGAGAGGACGGGACAGCACCACCCACAGCGCATTCTCAACCTTCCCACTTGCTTCAGGAAGGGTTGTACCCACCGTCCGGGCGGAAAACAACGTCCCCCGTCTCACTGGCCTACATGCCACCCCGAGGCTGGCAACGGTCCTTAAAGTCCCCTCCAACAGGTGTCTGAGTTTCATCGGGACTGTCCACGTGTCCAGCTGGCCCGACCTCCGACGGCCAGTGCCCTGCTGTCTGTGGACGCGGGGCCTGGAGGGGGCGTAACT